GCATTGAACCAGGTGGGTTGGATCCTATCGTGTCTTGATGAACTGGCATTAACCCCCCAGCCTCCGGTTGCTGTGTTACCACTTGGGACAGGAAATGACCTTGCTAGGACCCTTAACTGGGGAGGGGTGGGTACAAACTAAGAAACACACACACATCTAACATGAATAAATCCAGACTCCAGTCGCTGGCTGCTGGAAATCAAACTCCTTTGTATCAACATTTATCATGTCTTCTAACTCTTGTGTGTCTGCCATGTTTTTACGTTTAGATTTACCTCCAGTCTGTTTATAGGTTTGGATTAACCCTGAGTTTCACCTCCTGTAGCGTTTGATTTTGGAAGTGACTGTTTTTTTAAAAGTAAAGAATGAAGTAAAAAAGCAAAATGTTTTAGTGAGCCTTTGACTTGGCATGAAGTCTACAAGTGTCTGCAAAGTGCTGGATGGATGGAACAACATTCTCCCCAAATTTATTTTGGTTTGTGGTGGTGCCTTAAACATAGGCACATAATCAGCCACAGGAGGGGCCATAGCTTTTTATTTATTTTAATGTATTTTAATTTTGTGCTCTGCGGATGTTTGCACGCTGGAAAGCATGCTATGATGAAGGTGAACCCTCAGAACTTTCCTTAAATGTGTCACATATCTGTATATTTGTGCGTGCATAAATGCATTCAGGGCTACACGGATGAACCTCTGTCTAAGATCCTGTCTCATGTGGAGGAGGGAACAGCTGTCCAGCTAGACAGGTGGAACCTCCTGGTTGAACCAAACCACAGTGCAGGGGCTGAGCCAGATGAACAGCAAACTGATAAGGTCAGTGCATACACATGCACAGGCATGCACATGGACACACACATACCTGGGACTCTCTACACACTCTCAAGCAATGGATTTACCAATGTGACCTCAGCTAACCAGTGTGTGTGTGTCTGCATGGTCTCAGCTTCCTCTGGATGTTTTCAACAATTACTTCAGCCTTGGATTTGATGCCCACGTGACTCTTGAATTTCACGAGTCGAGAGGTACAAACACCCCTGTGACACAAAGATTCACATTCTGACGTGGCTTGTTTGGTGGCTCTGGATCTGGAGCATGTGCATTTACTGTCTGTCTGACTGTTTCAGAGGCCAACCCAGAGAAGTTTAACAGTCGTTTCAGGAATAAGATGTTCTACGCTGGGGTGAGTTTACCCTCGAGTTTAAAATCATGTTGGAAGCATGTGTCTCTAACAATGATCCAACTTTAAGGACCACTGCTCGTTTTTCAAATTCTGTTCCAATCAGTCAATCATGTCTGTGTGACTGGTGCAACCAATAAGCCAAGAATAAGGGCCTGCTTTGATTTCATGATGCACTCCTGCTTGTCTCACACAGACGGCATTCTCAGATTTCCTGATGGGAAGCTCCAAAGACCTGTCAAAGCACATCAAAGTGGTGGTGAGTAGCTGTCAGCCAAACCTCTGTCTGTCCGGTTCAGATCTTATACACCGTATCCAGATACAGTAGAATATGGCCCAAGCAAGAGAGTACTTATCATTGGTAACTGCAGTGTGTGCACACACCCAGTCAAAGGTTTATGGACACTCCAGCAGGTATCATTAACTCTGACCCACATAGCAAGCAGGTCTGGACTGGATCTTCTGACTGACTGGTGTCATGGCAGAGTGTATGTCAGGTCTGGCAATGATGCACTATTTATCTTCCTATTTTCCTATTTTAGTTAGAAGACCCAAATGCCATGTTGTAATACTATACTGCTATGGTAGCCAACGTTTCAAATGCAGGGTTGACAGGTTTGTGAGTGCACACTTTATCCAAAACCTAGTGTTTACTCATCTTTGCCAGTGGGTGGCTGTAGCTCAGGAGGTAGAGCAGGTCACCTACTGGTCACAAGGTTAGTGGTTCGATCCCTGGCTCCTCCAGTGCATGTCGAGAGTGTGAATGTGTATGAATGTAGTTAGGAAGCACTCAGATAAGAGGAAGTGTGTGATTGGGTGAGTGTGGCATGTTGTATAGAGCACTTTGAGTAATCGGGAGAGTAGAAAAGCTCTATATTAGAATCAGTCCATTCACTGTCTGAACAGAGTTTCGTCATGTTACGTTTGCACTGTTTTGCATGTTCTGGCGCATGTTGTTATTACATGGCTTGATTAAGGCACAGATTAGGCTGACATCTGGGCCAGCAGTGTGTCTGCAACTGGCCTGTGGCTGCACACCACCTACAGATGGCTCACATACTGCAAAGAATGACGACCCTTTGGTGGCCCAGATCAGGTTTGCCAGAGGTGGCCCACACATGGGCCAGCACAGGACCACCA